TGAGTCCATGGGGCTTTCTGGATTCTTGGCTCGAAATCCCGAAACCATTTTCCGTTTTGCACAGGTGGTTTCAAGATGGCTCGATGAGAGGCGAAGCTGTAACGCCAAGCCGCAAGGTGAACAAGCTTCTTTCTTATATGGGAATGGTTGCCAAGGCTTACTAGAGGGGACAACCCATCCGCGACTATGGATCTATATAAGTTTCGGGAGGGTCGAGATGATAATAATAGACAAGGGGGAAGGGAAGGATGGGGGCGAGGAGGCGGGAAATGTGGGAGGATGGTCTTCTGCGGGATCTTGGCCATGAGGCTGCTATTGGCGCATTGCTCGAATCTGTACGGAGTACGGAGTAGTGTCCAACTGGTCCCAAGCAACTAAACTGAATACGGCAGAACAGGAGTGGCTGCGAAGGCCTGTTTGGAGGAGATAACTCGTATGTAAACTTGCTAGTGCTCTTGACTAACGAATAACTGAAACGAGAGACACAGGGGCAGGCTCTCCTCTCTTCCCCCACTTGTCTGCAGTTCCCCGCAAATGAGAGTCAAGGGTTGATGTTTTGTGCCTTATTACGCAGGCGCACTTCAAAAGTCCATTCCCACACTAGTAAGTTTGGCGGTAATCATTATATACACGTGGCTGTTACCGGTGCTCATTTATGCCTATTTTTTCAGGGGTGGTTTGATAGGTGATTTACCCGCATTTATAACTAAACCTATTTATTACAATGATGTGAAAGATAAATTCAACGTAATTTACTAGGGCTGGAACGAACTTTTGAAGTACGCCTCCGTCCTCGTATTCTTCTTATCATTGCTGTTGTTGACCTGGCTAAATTGATCCGGACCCATCTCTTTTTTGCTAGATTCTTTTCCTCTCGACTCTTTTTGACTCTGGGTGGCTCTGCGAAGAGAAGTCTGGATCTTAGGCCCCTTGCAGTTGTTCGCATTCTGTTTCTATGCTGGGGCAAGTCCGCACAGCACTGTACTGTACATGATAGTAAGATCGAGAGACAGATGGATTGTAGCGATATAAAATCTAGCTTGGATGTATTTTTGCAGAGGGGTCTTATATATCATTCTATGATATTTTGTTTGACTTTTTGTTTTCTAGAATTTGTTCCCTGGGACAAACCATGACCGATCACTCGTTGACTAGTTCGTTGAATTTACTTTTATTTTTAAAGTTACCTGAGGAAGGATACCGCTGCTTTGGCCAACTTCCTCCCAGCTCCAAGCGCCCAGCCCACGGCAAACTCAACCATCTGCCAGGTACATGTACTGTACCTGTACAATACTCGCCTCTGCTTTCTGTTCGCCCGTCTTCGCCTTGTAACTTGGTTCCTGTGCTGGTTCAGCTGCTGGGTGTTGTGTCTCTTGTTCTTGGTCTTGACTGGTCTGAGGAGGCTTAGATCATTTCTTTCACCCCCCGTCGTCGCCGCCAACTTCAACCTCCTTCAAGACCTTTCTTCACAACTCCTCCCCTCCAGCCATCACCCCTCGACTTCACCTCTGCCATCTTCACGAGGATCCACTAGGCCATCGTCTTAATCACATCATCGTCGTCTTCTTATTCTTCTTCTTCATCATCATCGTCATCATCGCCATCACCATCATCATCATCACCACAACCACCATCACCACAACCGCCATCCACTACCACCACCACGATCACCGTCATCATCGCCTCATTTCCTCTCCACGGTAAATATTTCCCATATCCCCATCCGCTATCTCCCCTTATTTCCCCTTTCAGTCTCTTCTCGTCTTCTTCTACCCAACGGGGATGTTGAGCCGTTTTTGCTGGTTTGCATACTGCCCTTTATTATACCGACTCCTAATTACCCATCAAAGAAAAACTATTCCGTCCTTGAGAGATCGCGAGAGGTGTGAGGAAAACTTGGATCGCTAACACTGATCGACTCTTCGAGGTTCATCTTTCAGCTTGGCCCGGCTCGAACTTCTCCTGTTCTCCCTTCTTGTCCCCTGCTGCTAACCACCCAG